CTTCTCCCTCTCCCACTCCCTCTGCTTGTGTTCCCTTTCTCGCTGTGTCTCTCTCTGTCAAATAAATAAATAAAATCTTTAAAAAAAATAAAAAATAAAAAAATAAAAATAAGCCAAAGCACAGGTGTCTACAATGAGGCTTATATAGTCCCACCAAGCTATAACTACTTTTTTTTTTTTGCTATAACTACTTTCTTAGGGTATTATTTTCAAATGTTTGGGTTGTAAAGCTTTGTTTGGGTTGTAAAGCTTAGATTGATTGATTTTATTATCTCTATACCCAACATGGGGCTTGAACTCATGACCCCAAGCTCAAAGTTGCATGCTCTACTGACTAAGCCAGGCAGGTACCCTAGGTCATAAAGCTTAGAAAGTGATTTTCCTTCAGTGATGCTCAAAATATGTGATGCAAGTCATCTCCATCTCTGTAACAGTCTATTTTCTATTCCTGCCTATCCAACATGCCCATTAGACTCCTCATTTAGCATAAAAAACCAAGCCCTAAACTTGAGAGGCCCATTCTCATCCTATACTATGGCAGTCACATTACTTGGTTTTAGATGACCTCTTAGGAGTGCACCTGCCCCTTTAATCTATATCGCCTGTAAAAGATTAGATTATTCATTCAGGAAGGTAATCCTAAACCAATCTCTAACTCTGGGTTCAAAGAGTGAAAAAGAGTATCTGAACCAGTATCTTCATTTTCATAGATGAGGAAAATGAGTCCAAAGAGGTAATTTCTCTGAATTCTCTGTGGTCACATACCTAATTGGTGGCAGATGCAAGAACAGAGATCTCTCTAATATCAAGTGAATCTGACTCAATTTAAATTAACCCCAAGGATACCATATCCACAAATGACTTAGAAATGGATCAGTGGAGGGTGCCTGGGTGGCTCAGACGGTTAAGCATCTGCCTTCAGCTCAGGTCATGATCCTGGGGTCCTAGAATAGAGCCCCACATTGGGCTCCCTGCTCAGCAGGGAGCCTGCTTCTCCTTCTCCCTCTGCCTGCCTCTCTCCCTGCTTGTGCTCTCTAATAAAAAAAATTAAAAAAGTCTTTAAAAAAAAAAAAGAAATGGATCAGTGGAAAACATGTGTTCTATTTTGGAACATTCAGTAGCTGGGAAGCAGGTATGAACTCCTCCCCAGGCTGCTGATCACACTTCAATTCATTGCTCTTCCATGAGCTATGGGCATGAGTTTTCCAACTGTAGGGCTTGCAAAAAAATTCTCAGGCACTCATACCACTGACCACACAGTCTTTGCAAGAAGAAACATCAACTTTGGGAACAACTTGGCAACTACAAGCTGCCCTGCAAATCACTGGCTGAGTTTCCTATAATGGTGTTCATGCCACCATTGCCAAACACAATTTCCTAGTCCAACGAATGGCTAGTCTGTTTTACATGGCCTCAAATTGGACAAATTTCTCAAGGTGCTATGTGGCTTTAAGGATTTAGATTTAACCCGGTCTTTCTCAGTGGCACTGTGACATTTTGAGGACAATTCTTGGCTATGTGAGATTACCTAGTACATTGAAGAAGGTTTAGAATCACTGGTCCTTTGTCTTTTTTTTTTTTTTAATTTTATTTATTTAACAGAGATAGCACAAGTAGGCAGAGTGGCAGGCAAAGGGAGAGGGAGAAGCAGGCTCCCGTGGAGCAGGGAGCCCAATGTGGGGCTTGATCCCAGGACCCTGGGATCATGACCTGAGCCGAAGGCAGATGCTTAACCGACTGAGCCACCCAGGTGCCCCGGTCCTCTGTCCTTTAAATGCAAGGGTACAGTAGTAGTCCCTCCTTATCTGTGGTCTCACGTTCCAAGGTTTCAGTTACCCACAGTCAACCGCCGTCCAGAAGCAGGTGATCCTTCTCCTGACACATCATGAGGTCAATAGTAGCCTAAAGCTATGTCACAATGCCTACATCATTTGCCTTGCTTCATTTCATCACGTAAGCATTTTGTCCTCCCACATCATCACAAGAAGGATGAGATTGATATATGATTTTTGAAAGAGAGAAACCACATTCACATAACTTTTATTACAGCATATTGTTGTAACTGTTCTATTTTATTATTAGTTATTACTGTTACTCTTTTACCATGCTTAATTTATAAATTAAACTTTAACATAGGTACGTATGTATAGGAAAAAACACAGTATATAGAGGGTTGAGTACTATCTGTGATTTCAGGCATCCACTGGGGGTCTTGGAATGTATCCCCTGTATTCCCACCAGTCACAACCCTCACACATTTACAAATGACCTCAAAGGGTAAGATATCACCAGCAGTATTAGCCTTCAGGTCAACCATTAAATGAACTATAAAGTTATAAAAAATATTTACATAAAGACTTGACCCCTAAAAAAAAAGACTTGACCCCTCTTATCTGCCACTAAATACTGCCCTCTATTCATCTTTTTAGCCCAGAGATTAGATGAAATCTTTGTTCATCAACTCCTGAACACCAACTTTGTCTAAACTAGCTAAATAATTAAGACATTTTTACTGTCAGGGAAGTAGAGTAGAAAAGTTACTGAAATGGAATGAGGGCACCTTTGAATTCCAGTTTTCTGGTTATTCACCCTTAGACAAGTTATTTCCCCTCTTTAGGCCTCAGTTCTCTCATCTACTTAAATAAAAAGCATTAGGCTACATTATCTCTCAGGTTTATTGCAGTTCTAGGAATCTGTGACATAAAACATAATTAACTGGCTTAACTCTTTTCTTTTGACTCCACATGGCTAAATGGGGGTGTCCATCGACACTTACTACCTCATCTTTCAGAAGTAAGGACCCCAAAGTCCCAGAAGAGTCACATTCAGCCAGAGCCGGTATGGGATTTTACTACACGGTCTATATCTTGAGTATATAAAAAGGAGCTTAATTATTTTATGATCCATTAATAATAGAAGCACCAAGATAATAACAGCAATAGTCACTCTAATGTTTATCTCTGCTAGACTATCATCTCAACCCTGGATGTACATTAGAATCACCTGGATAGTTTAAAAAAAAAAAATGCCCCAGCTCCAAACCAAGCCAATATCAAATGAATCAGAATCTCATTTCTGGAGATAGATGGGGCTCATTTCTTAAGGTTCCACCAAGTAATTCTGATGTACAGTGAAAACCAAGAACCACTAATCCAGGCTCTTTAATCCAAGAAATGCAAAGCAAATGACCAAAGATCAGTATATCACATACTGGTTGTATAATCAAACATCAATAAATAAGAATAATCCAGTGTTACTATTCACTGACATTCTCGGTTACATATAAAGAATTCCATTTCTAGAGAAAAAGGGAGGTCTATAACAACCTTTTGTTCCTGCCACAGGTTGTTACTGAGGACGAACCCTGCCAGAAATAGTATATACCTTCCTGACATGAGAAAGCAATTCAAAGAACGATTACTATAAATTTGCCCAACCCTGCAAAAGTCCTATCAACCATTAAGACAGTTACAACATTAGTCAAAGTAGTACAGAAACCAAAATTCCTCAACCTAACTCTCACTGACTAGATGTCACTAAAAGACCAAGTATGTACAAAGAACAGGAAAAAGTTGAGAGGAACATTTAGAAAAAGACACTTTGAAAATTGCACTTCATGCAAAGTACATTTATTCATCAAAGCTTCAAGTCCAGGGGCGCCTGGGTGGCTCAGTCGTTAAGCGACTGCCTTCAGCTCAGGTCATGATCTCAGGGCCCTGGGATCGAGCCCCGCGCGTCGGGCTCCCTGCTCTGCGGGAGGCCTGCTTCTCCCTCTCCCACTCCCCCTGCTTGTGTTCCTGCTCTCGCTATCTCTCTCTCTGTCAAATAGATAAATAAAAAAATCTTTAAAAAAAAAAAAAAAGCTTCAAGTCCAGTGATGCAGTTAAAGGTGGTACAACCTGGGCTAAAATTATTCTTGCTCTTTCCAGAACAAAATCAGTGAAACCCATAGGTCATGTTAAATAAGTAAAACATTAAATTTCTGTCTTACCTTATGTGTAAGGCCAAGCCATCCTGTAGGCTGGAGATCCCCAAATCAGAGAGTGTATCTGAGCCAACAGAAGCTGGTGATAGAGAGCCCTCCTTCTCCTCCAGCAGATCCAGCTTCACCAGGTTGCTAATTTCATCCTCTGAGTTATCTTCAGACACAGAACCAATTATGAATCGGGAGTGCTGGTTCAGCTCCAGAGGTTTGGCCAAGGGGGATGGTTCATCCATTATTCCTTCAAAATGAGCTCTCAGAGCTATGAAGAAAATGAGTGAGAAAAGCAGGTTATGGATAACAACCTGTATCAGAGGACAACCACAGATTATACCTAATATACTACAGCTGGCACTTGGAAGCAACATATAGTTTGAGAACTAGTTTCTTTGGCTATCTATTTCAGGGCCTCTGTTTTCTACAAGGGAGGAAAATCCAGATCATGATAACCATGCCTAAAAAATTAAAATTAGCTCCCTCTTCCTCAAAGAAATCTCTCTCAAAAAACTATAAGCCATTCCCAATCTCTTTATCAATTTGGTAACGTCCAAGAAATAATTATGATCAATGGAGAAACCTTTGCAGTAGGTGAAAGCTGCTCATGCTAGTGTGACTTCAGTTGTCAATACTAGGGAGAAATGCAGGAAAAGATTTGCGGAGAGTGGTGGTCGTTTCAAACTAGGTATTTAGAGTAAACTATACAACTATCACCTCGTTCCAACTGTACACTGTGAGAGGTTGTGAATTTTACATATGTGTATTTTTGTATAAATATATACACATAAAATACATTGACATTGATTAATAGACAGAGAGAGAAAATCTTTACTTGTCCTCATGAGTTTTTTCTTCAATTACATCTGTTAAAAATTCATCCAAAAATGTCTGCTCTTGGCTCTAATGTGCTGACATCGATAGGGAGAAAATGAATGTACTATCAAATTCAAAATCTATAATTAAAATAAGGGAGGGGTGATCTCAATTAAGTATTAGTTTTCTAGGTATAGGGCCTTATTAGCCAGAATTAAATATTTCCAACTACTAGCAAACTAATTAACAAAGACCAGAACAGTTCAAAGCCCATAAGAACAATAAAAACCAAAGCTAAAAGAAACAATATTTATTCTGTCACTCAAAAAATTCCATAAAAAAACCCTTCAGAACTACACATCAACTTACCACTGAACCTCTTGCGGCCTAACAATTTTAATTTAGAAAGCAATATTCCCAATACTGATTTCAAGGTGTATCAATAGATAATGTATATTAATAAATTATGCTGTAGACTACTTTGAAGTATAACAGTAGGTAGAAAGCAGTGTTCTTTGACATCAGATAACAAAACATAAAGATTTAAAAATGTTTGGGGCGCCTGGGTGGCTCAGTCATTAAGCATCTGCCTTTGACTCAGGTCATGATCCCAGGGTCCTGGGATCAAGCCCCACGTCGGGCTCCCTGCTCAGCGGGAAGCCTGCTTCTCCCTCTCCCACTTCCCCTGCTTGTGTTCCTGCTCTTGCTATCTCTCTGTGTGAAATAAAATCTTAAAAAAAAAAGATTTAAAAATGTTTGGAAATCACCATTAAACATTAAAATGACACGTGCACCATTATTCTTGTGTCATTGGTGAATCAGAGCTTATTCATTTACAAAGACAAAACAGTATTTGTAAATGATAGAGCAGTGGTTCTCAAAAAATGTAGTTGCCAGACCAGCAGCAGTAGCAGCAACATCACCAGGGAACCTCTTAAAAGTACAGATTCTCGGGCACCTGGGTGGCTCAGGTGGTTAAGCGACTGCCTTCGGCTCAGGTCATGGTCCTGGAGTCTGGGGACAGAGTCCCACATGGGGTTCCCTGCTCAGCAGGGAGTCTGCTTCTCCCTCTGACCCTCTCCCCTTTCATGCTCTCTCTAATAAATACATAAAATCTTTAAAAAAAAAAAAAAGTACAGATTCTCAGGCCCTACCATAGAGCAAATAACTGTATCAGAATCTACAGTTTGGGGCCCAGTATTCTATATTTTAACAAATCCTAAAAATTTGAGAATCACTCTGCTATAAGAATAAAACAGTAATAACAAATTGCCAGGAATGCTAAAAAAAAAAAAAAAAAAAATTTACTTCTAGGTATTTCCCAATAGTGAGTTAGAGATTACTTCGGTTAACTTTTATTTTAAAAACCAGAATCAAATATAAAAATGGTATGCAACAGGAAAAACTTGACATCTAAATTTACTATACATTCCTCCCTTGGGATACTAGGTTTCTTTAAAATAATTTTTAAATGTCTCCAAATTTTATTAAGATAATCACTTCCAGAAATCTAAAAGAAAACCAATCATTTAAAAAGAGAAAGAAGGGGGCACCTGGGTGGCTCAGTTGGTTAAGCGACTGCCTTCGGCTCAGGTCATGATCCTGGAGTCCCAGGATCGAGTCCCGCATCGGGCTCCCTGCTCGGCGGGGAGTCTGCTTCTCCCTCTGACCCTCCTCCCTCTCATGCTCTCTGTCTCTCTCTCTCTCTCAAATAAATAAATAAAATCTTTAAAAAAAAAAAAAGAGAAAGAAGGAAGGAAGGAAAAAGGGAGAAGGACAAAGTGAGGGAAGGAGAGAGGGAAAGTTCCAACAGATTGACCACTTTGAGGAACACCAAAAGGTACAGCAACAAAAAAGTCTACTTCTTTCACATTTTAGAGCAGTAAATAATCAAGTTTAAAAAAAAAAATAAGAGGGGCGCCTTGGTGGCTCAGTCGTTGGGCGTCTACCTTCGGCTCAGGTCATGATCCCGGGGTCCTGGGATCGAGCCCCGCGTCAGGCTCCCTGCTCTGCGGGAAGCCTGCTTCTCCCTCTCCCACTCCCCCTGCTTGTGTTCCCTCTCTCGCTGTGTCTCTCTCTGTCAGATAAATAAATAAAATCTTTAAAAAAATAAACATAAAAAAATAAGAAAAGACCCCCTTCCCTCCCCACCCCTGCAGAATTCCAAATTCCATCTCAACTAATATAGAAAATAATGGCTGCCTTCTTCACAGGAGAAATAAATAAGGCATTCAGGGGCATGTTCTAGTTTAGAGTCTGACTGAAATTAGATGACTACACAAAAAAATAAAATTCATGAGAAAAGAGCAATTCTCTGATTCCATGGGAGAAGAAGAAGAAATGATTTAACTAATAAATGAGAGGCTCCATAAGGTCAACTTCAAATTTTTCTTTCCTAGCTAAGAACATGAAGGCAGCCTCCCCTGAATTGTTGCAAAGATTGGAAGCAGCTCAGCTGTCAGCAGCTAAAGAGCCTATCAACCAACCAGCAATTCTACTGAATGGTATCCCCGGGCACAAGCCTGCAAAGCACCAGAAAAGAGAGGTCATGTATGGAAAATCACTGAGTAGATGTCCAGACACTCTAGAAACTACTCTACGGCCCGTCCCACTTCCATTGAATCTAGTCCAGAATTAAAGAGAAAGGGGGACGGAATACTACCACTGTCAGACCATTCACTTCAGGTTATCCCCCCCGCTAAATCTGCCTATGTGCTTTTTGTAGAAGGCAACTTTTCACATAAATGCCTACAGTTTAATACTTTAGCACATGAACATGAAATTTTTATCACACTGTAAACAGGAAAGAATATTATTTGTAACTGACCTCTTATAATTCTTACTGTCTGAGCAGATATCCACCTCCAAAAAGAACTAGAGAGAAAGAGAGAGATTTGAAGTGGTTTTATTTTTTAAGAAACCCGAATTTTAGCAATTCCTGTTTTGCTCAGCATGATACAAAACTGATAGTACTCAAAGTATCATTTTTCTGATCAAATCTATTGTTTAATTTGAAGCATAAAGTTCAGTTGTTTAACTATTGTTTATTCATATCTATAAATCAAAAGCATTACACAAAGACTTTGTTTTTTCATGAGAGTATTAAACAATAATCCAAGCTTACCACTTCAGGAGGTGCCTTTTCCAATTGTATACTTCGATGAACATATTCCAACCCTATGATAGCCAATATTTCATCGAAAAAGAGGCAGGGGGGAGAAGAGAACCACTAGATCCCTTGGAACTCAGACTCTGATTATATTTCCAAATGGTTATACCCACATATAAGATTGGAAGCCAGGAAGGGGACAGATCTTGCATTAAATTAAACTAAAAACTAAATCTAAATCCCTTAGATCCCTAAAACTCTAAGGGATCAAGAAGTCTCTAGCTACTTCCCGAAACCTAGGTTTCCTTCCATGCCCAACAATTTATATGTATCCAGGGTAAAAATTCTCAACTTTGGTTATGTATAACAATCACCTATGGAGCTACTTATTTATTTATTTATTTTTAATTTGAGTATAGTTGACACATGATGTTACACTGGTTTCAGGCCTGTGGAGCTTTTTTGAGGGGAGGAGGGGAACCAGGCAGTTTTATTTATGATGGCAACTAGAAGACTCCAAGCTTAGGAGCATGGGCGAGATAAGGACTGAGCCCATGCCTTCTGCTTCTCGTTGGGATTCCTGGGGGCAAACTTCTCCCCCAGTTTCTTCCACATTCCTTTATTCATTTCCTTAAACTCTTTCAAGATGTCTGTGGACAGGATCGGCTTGTACTCTTCTGTGGACAGGCCAGTGAAGCTCATGTCTTTGAGGCAAGGGTCCTTGTGTTTGTAACAGTTTGAATGGAGCCATGTGAAACTCTCATACATCCGATCACAGGCCTCAGGCTCTACAATCTTGAGTATTCTCTCCCTCCGGAAAGGCCTGTGCTACGCCTGGCCCGTTTGGTCTCCTCCACTGGCCATTCCTCACAGAGTTTTAGGAAACGCCAGCAGGGGCTGGCCTCCATTTTGGGCCACCCCATGGTGCTTTTTAAAAACGTGTCTAAACTCGGGCGCCTGGGTGGCTCAGTTGGTTAAGCGACTGCCTTCAGCTCAGGTCATGATCCTGGAGTCCCTGGATCGAGTCCCGCGTTGGGCTTCCTGCTCGGCAGGGAGTCTGCTTCTCCCTCTGACCCTCCTGCCTTTCATGTGCTCTCTCTCTCAAATAAATAAATAAATAAATCTTTAAAAAAAAACAAAAAAAACCATGTCTAAACTCCACCCCAGATCTACCAAATCAGATTCACTGCTGGAGGCCCAGAGATCTGAATATTAAGTTCCACAGCTGACTGACACTGATATATCTCCAGGCTTGAGAACCACTGATACAGGGTGGAGAAGAAATCCAGAACTTCTAAGACCTCGAATGACAAGCGATAGGACTGGGGACAGTGCAGGTATGTTAACTGAGGAAGCTGGATTTACCCAATTATGTGGTTTAAGCTGGTATTATTCCCTACAGTTGTGGTAGGGAAGAGGGGGTGAGAAGAGGAAGGAGAAAGGAAGTAGTCTGAATCAGATGCAACCAAAGGGGCAGTAGAGCTGGAGTCAAAACCTAGAACTCAAGCTCAAATTCTGACTTTGCCAAGTATTGGCAGTGCAAACTTGAACGAGTCACTTAACATCTCTGATTCTCGTCATCAGTAAAAATAAAAAGGTCATACGCTACCTCAGGGGACTGCTGTGAAAACGGAGAGTATATGAAGTATTCTGTAAACTATGTACTAGACCAGTGTTTTTCAAACTATGGGTTACCACCAAGCAGAACAGTAAGAAATAAATTTAGAAGGTTACAACCAACATTTTATTTTTTTAAAGATTTTATTTATTTATTTGACAGAGACAGAGATAGCGAGAGCAGGAACACAAGCAGGGGGAGTGGGAGAGGGAGAGGGAGAGGGAGAAGCAGGCTTCCCGCAGAGCAAGGACCTATCCCAGGATCCCGGGATCATGACCTGAGCCGAAGGCAGGCACTTACCCGGCTGAGCCAGCCAAGCGTCCATACAACCAACATTTTAAAAATGAAGGGGCGCCTGGCTGGCTCAGTCGGTAGAGCATGCCACTCTTTTTTTTTTTTTTTTTAAGATTTTATTTATTTATTTGACAGAGAGAGACACAGCGAGAGAGGGAACACAAGCAGGGGGAGTGGGTAAGGGAGAAGCAGGCTTCCCGCCGAGCAGGAGCCCGAAGTGGGGCTCGATCCTCAGGACCCTGGGATCATGACCTGAGCCGAAGTCAGACGCTTAACGACTGAGCCACCCAGGCTCCCCGAGCTTGCCACTCTTGATGTTGGGGTTGAGAGTTCGAGCCTGGCGTTGAGCATAGTTTACTTTAAAAAAAAAAAAGTCATTAAAAATGAAATAGAACAGAACACCTGGGTGGCTCAGTCAGTTAAGCGTCTGCCTTCGGCTTATGATCCTGCTTCTCCCTCTGCCCCTCCCCACTGCTGGTAACCTCTCCCTCTCTTTCTCTGACAAATAAATAAATAAAATCTTAAACAAAAAATGAAATAGAACAGAAGATGTTAAGAGTAACCATACTTTATAAGGACGAATATTGTTCTGTGAATTTTTATATCAGTTATATGTATGTCAAAAAAAAGTCTTAGAGTCACAATGAATCCTTGCTCTCCTGCCCCCTCCACTTTATGCTCTCACAAGAGAACAAACACAGTGACTTAATACCTAAACCAATGGTTCTTAAACTTTCTTAGGTCAGGACACTATTAGAAATCTGATAAAAGCTCTGGACTCTTTCTTGACAAAAATTCACCCTCACACAAAATTCTGCTTACATACAAGTTTAGGACCCCCAAAGCCTTGCCATGAATCAGGTTAAGATCCTTCTCTCTAGAAAGAAGACAAAGAATGGAGGTGATCCCTGGGGAAGGCTCATATAGCTGCTATCTCACCACCTCCAAAAGAAGGCCTTTCCCCAGACGGAGGGGTAGTACATTCTGCTTATCCAAATAAAAATTTTCTTCATTAGATCAAATTGTCAAATTCTCCTTTATTAAAAAAGAAAGTTTTAAAATGTTCTTGAACTGTTAGAAACTCTTCAAAATATTTGCAGAAGGCTCCCAAACTATACCCTATGTGCCTGAAAATGGGATAAAGCTAATTACAGCTAATGCACTTTTATTTAAGAGTCAGCCTGCATTTCACCCAGGGATATTTCTCTAAATAAAACAGAACAGATTTTACCAAACTTATATGTTTCCCTTGAACTCAAGTGACACTATTTTCCAAGTGATTCTAATAAAGAGGCATCAATTAGTTTTCATAGCCACTGATAAAGTATCCAAGCTGGGGACACCTGAGTGGCTCAGTCGGTTAAGCATCTACCTTCCGCTGAGGTCATGATCCCAGGGTCCTGGGATTGAGTCCTGCATCAGGCTCCTTGCTCAGCGGGGAGCCTGTTTCTCCCTCTGCTTGCTTTCTCTCTCTGACAAATAAATAAATCTTTAAAAAAAAAAAGTATCCAAGCTGACACAACATGTCCTTGCCTTTTAAGTCATAGTAACTTCATTTAAATTTCTTCAAAAATAATCACTGAATCTGCTTTTCATTTTTGTCGTTTTACTGATAAACTTTTAAATGGATTTTAGTATTAATTCAGTAACCATGAGTTTTTTAAAGCCACATTTTATTTTCCTGCAAGTTTTAAAGATTTTATTTATTTATTTTTAGAAAGAGAGCACGCGTGCCTGAGCTTACTGGCACGTGAGCTGGGGGAGGGGCAGAGGGGGAGAGAGAGCCAGAGGGAAAGAATCTCAAAGGGACTCCGGGCTGAGCACAGAGCCCGACTCAGGGCTCAATCCCGTGACCCTGAGATCATGACCTGAGTCAAAGCCAAGAGTCGGATGCCTAACCAACTGAACCACCCAGGTGCCCCATGTTTTAAATTTTAAAACAAAAAACACTTGTGTCCCAAATAGTGAGATGGATGATGTATACTGAAGGATAAAAAAGATTTGGTCCCTGGCTAAGATGCTATAGATACCTAAAGAAACAGACAATTATAGTAGTGTAATAATTGTTAGGTATGGAAACACAAAAAAGAAAGATACTTTATCCAAACTTGGAGGTGGTAATGGTGAGGACAGGGATCAAGGAAGATTTCCCAGAGTGGGAAGACATTAACAATAAAGAACTGGGATATAAACAAGGACAGAGAGGAAGGAGCACTCCATGTAGAAGAAGCCACTGAATAAACATCCAGATTGTAGAATACAATGACTTATGAGAAATACCAGACCTGAATGGCTTCAAGAGTTTGAGGTAATTTCCTTCAAGAGCCAGCTGGGGGGCTTTTTTTTTTTTTTTTTTTTTTAAAACAAGAGTATTTCCTTAGGGTAAAGTAGTCTTTAGAAAGAAAATAACATTGTGTAATTGTCTATTCTATTCTTCATTTCTCAGCCCATGGATATAGAATATTTTTCAAGGATGAAGCTGGTGAAAGCTTCTGCATCTTTCAAGAAATCTTTAAGGAAGCCTTGCCAAACTTCTGGATAAAGATGGTAGGTTGAATACATATCCATTTTGTTCCTCCCTAAAATCCTACTAAAAAAACAAAAGTAAAGGGGCACCTGAGTGGCTCACTCAGTTAAGCATCTGCCTTCAGCTCAGGTCATGATCCCAGGGTCCTAGGATTGAGCCCCACGTTGTCGCTGGGCTCCCTGTTCAGCGGGGAGTCTGCCTCTCCTCCCTTTGTCTCTCTTCCCTCTGGTGTGCGCTCTCTTGCTCTCTCTTTCATGTTCACTCTCCCTCTCTCTCTCAAGTAAATAAATAAAATCTTAAAAAAAAAATTAAGGAATTTTTTTAAA